CTCATGACGATCATGGTCATCACCTTCATGATCATCATGGCTCTGTTTGGCTTCTGCTTTGCAAGTGTCTAGGGGAGCCTTCTCCAACCTCTGCAAAACTTTGATGGCTACCTTCTTCATCTTCTTGATGGCCTCATTTGCAAGCTCAGAGGCGTGATTGATGTCTATCTCTGTTGCCCACTTCAGTTTGGAGACGCTTTTGTATATCTTGCTTCTGAGGAGGTCACCGTCTTTCACGAGTTGTGATGTGCAGTCTCTGATCGCTGTATTGGAGGCACGGGCCTCTTTAAAGAGTTGGGTGATGTTTGTGGTCACAACATCCCCTAGGGTTTCCACCATAGCATCTAGCTCTCTGCGAGTTCCCAGATGATTGATGTTGGCCCTTGAGGTCTTGGTGTCGAGGTCGTAGGTGACCACAGAAGAGAACATCTCCTTAATCTCGTCTCTGAATGAAGAGTAATTCGTGTAGCCCGCAAAGACAAGATCAGCAGCAAATTGGGCGGCCATCTCTGTAAGCTCAGTCTTCAGCGTCTTGATCGAAGAAAGGTTGAGTGTCATGGCTTGGAAGGCCTCTGCAAGGTCTTCCTTTTGAAGGACAGAGCTCTGAAGAGTTGAAAGGGTTGACTTGAGTTCTGCTGTTGTTGACGTCAACTCCTTCAGAGCCTCTATGATTGGCGAGAGGTCCTGCGGCACCATGTGGGAGACAAATAAGCTTTTCAACTCATCTATCTTTTGGAATATTTCTGTGGCAAAGGTTTGAAGCTCCCCCTTTGTCACATACTTATCCTRRRAACCTAAATCACCAACACATGGTGATTTAGTAGCCTCGGAGCGTGAGGCGCCCTCTGTGGCTGGTATGTCGTAACCAACATAGGGACTTTCACCAGATCTTCGAGCATCTCCCATAGGAGTGCCTACCGGTGTTATGTAGATCTCTTGCCCTGTAGGTTCAGAGCCTAACATGGTAGATTGATCTAGTGGGGACAGAGGGCGTTCCAGACCCTCTGTCTCTATGGTCCTTACCTGTGCCTCTAAAGCACGTTCTGGATGTTCACTCGTGTGAGGAGAGGCAACAGATGCCTCTCTTGGTTCTGTCGAGTCCATGGGCGAAGGGACTCTTATCGTAAAACCTTCATCCTTTTGGGAGGATGAAGGAGTTGGATGAGGTTACCCAGGTGTGCGTTCCATAGAGGACGAAAGAATGTCCTTTGTGGGGATGGTTTGGGTAGGGATCGGCATGTGCGTGCCTGTTTCAATATAGGTTCCCTCTAGAACAGGGCCTCTAGACATGAGGGTTGCACTGGGAGTTAGGCTTTGTTGTGTGCCTTGGGCATCTTTTTCACCCTCACCTATGTCTTCTTCTTCATCTTCGTCGTCTAAAACGACTTATGTCCCCAACTTGGAAGAGTCAAGAGGTTCTTTAAATTCCTTTTGGATTTTGGAAAGAACCTCCTCTATTTGTTCTGTTGGGGAAACATCAAGAACAACTTTGCGCAACCTTCTRCGCTTTRGAGTTGGAGTGGCCTCTGCCGGGCTCTCTTCTGCTGCGGCCTCTTCAATCACAGGCTATGTGGGTACTTGTTCTGTGACCACAGGCTCTGTTGGTTGAGCCTTCTTAGTTTTCTTCTTTTTGGTCTTTGGCAGAGGTCCAATTGGGCCTTCTTCCTCTGCAGGCCTCTTTTTCCCTTTCTTTGTCATATGAGAATCGATACCCTCCTGTGTCTTCTTGGCCTTCTTGGTTGGGGGACTTGGGATTCTAGGGGGTTCCTCACTCACCTGTCCAGCCTCTGCAGGCTCCTCCCGTCTTCCCTCAACCCTCATTTTCTCAATCTTTTCTCCTAGAGGGACTCCTATGCGTGGAGGGGTCTTAGGGACCGGTTCTGGTCGCCTGAATCCACGTCTGTAAGATTTTCT